AAATCTAAAAATAAATACAAATTATGATAAAACACAGAAAAAAAATAACTTGGCGTAATTAGATAAGATTTATTATCTGATGAGTAATTTATTGAATTATATGTGTATTTTTTTGGATTCAGATAAAGCAGTAGTCAAATTTACAAGATACATTATGCACAAGATAATTTTTTTTCTTCTAACACAATATTTTCTCGCTCAAATTAAACTTTATTTGAATTAGATTATACAACTTACTAATTATTAAAAACACATAAATCGTTTGTTTATGTCTATTAATTTTAATAGTGTAGTTTAACGAAATAGGACCTAATTACTTTTAAAACAAGTGTTGTTTAGTACTAATGTCTTTTTTATGTAGACCTGACAGAAAACTTTTTTATTTGACTCAAATTTATTTTATACCGTTTGTGTTTCAACACAATGTTTTATTAAAGTAAGACATTATTTTGTTTAAAACAATCAAAAAACTTGTAGGCAAGCGTTTGTGAAATTATTTAACTTAAATAAGTTTTAAAGTACGCTAGCAATCTAAAAAACATAACTTATGTGTCCGAAAAAATAATTTGTTATATTAACAAATTATTATTGTTTGAATTAGACAAGGTTCTTAGCTACCCCAGATAGTGATACGGAATAATGTTTTTAATTGTTTTCTTTTAACCCCACGATTTTACAAACTAAACACCATATGTTGTCTATTTGAAAAATATCTATTCCTGAATCAGTCAACAAGATTTCATCATTTTTCCAGGACCAGAAAGTTATGAATTATTACCTACACAAATTTCGCGCTGCATCTCAAACCCAAAGCTACAGCAACTAAAACTTTTTTTTTTTCGATATTAAAAATTTTAATATTGATTTATATTGACTAACCAAACATTATACGCGATAAACAATACAAAAACCTAGGTTGTTTTATAATTTGAGTTTTTATAAACACCGAAACTGTTCGAACCGCGAAATTTTTCCAGCGATGTGACTGAAATCCTGTAATATACTTATATAGAAATAATGCACTCGATATTTCTTAATGAACTATATTGATTCTCAACTAATAAACAATATTACAAATTACAATTATAACACGATGATTTCTAGACAAAGACAAAAACCACCACTTTTTATATCGTTTGTCAGTAAACTACCAAACACAAGTGTATATAAAGTTGCCTACCTTACAAATCCTTTTATAAATGACGCGGTTAATGGCCAATATAAACTATATCTATCACACCTTAACCCATTATATTTTCTATACGTAGTATACCTTACCTTGTTGGCGTCACGAGCCGCGGCACTTGGGGTTTAATACATGTAAAACATAGCAGGAACGAAGGACAAAATGAAATTTTGACCCGCAGTAGAGAAAATGGGTAAAATAAAATGTTAAAAGCGAAAATTGGATAAATTGGGAATAATTTTGAATATTTTAGGATAAAAAAAAAGTGATTTACAAAAAGAATTAGCAAAAATTAAAGCAATGTATCACATATAATCAGTAGACAGAGAGGACTTTTTATTTCTTCTTCTTCTTCTTCTTCTTCTTTTAGAAGGCGTATCGCCTGTTTAGTTTCGGTTTCCTCCTCGTCTAAGCAACTCTTGCGAGGTTGACTGCCAACTGTCTTGCCAACGTTTAGGTGGTCGTCCAGTAGGTCTTCTGCCATGGGGTACGTTGTTGCGAATTATTATGGCCATTCTGTCGGGGCCCATTCTATTGACATGCTGGTTCCATTCTCTTCTTCTCTGCCTTATCCATCTGACAACGTCGTTTGTTTGGCACTTTTCTCTTATGTCTACATTTCTCTGTCTGTCCCTCAATGTGTATCCAGTTATCATTCTTAAGATCTTCATTTCAGTAGTTCGTAGGATTCTCTTTGTTACTGATGTTTCAGCTCTGGTTTCCACACCATATGTCATCACTGGTCGTATGCAGGTTTTGTATACTCTTGACTTACATTCTGTACTCAAATGTTTGTTTTTCCATATGGGATATTTAAGATGTCCTGATATTGCGGCAGCTTTATTGGCTTGTTTTCTTACTTCTTCTTCCAGGAATCCTGAGCTTGTAATTTTGCATCCGAGGTACTCGAATGACATTATCTGATCAATAGTTTTGTTTTTTATTACCAATTTGCACCGTAGAGGCTCCTTTGTAATGGTCATGCATTTGGTCTTATTTGTGGAAATTTGCATGTTAAGTTGTTCTGCCTGCATCATCGGCATAGCATAATATGTTTACTTTATGCATTCCCATTCGATATCCTAATCCAGTATTCTTGACGGTTTTTATTACTTGATCCATGATTGTGTTGAATAACAGAGGGCTGAGGCTGTCGCCTTGGCGAATACCAGTTGTAGTTCGAAGATGCTGCGTTAAGGTAAAGTTTGTTCTTATTTGGGTTGTTGTGTTTGTGTTTAAGTCCTTGATAAGTTCTGTGAGTTCTTTCGAGACATTACTGCTTTCCAAGATGGTGATGATGTCTTTTAGTTGGACTCTATCAAAGGCCTTTGTTAAATCTATAAAACATAGATAGGCTGGAGAGTTATATTCTAAGGATTTTTCAACTAGTTGCCTGAATATGAATAGTGTATCGGTAGTTGATCGGTTTCTTCGGAATCCTTGTTGTTCCTCGCTTATTGGCACTATTGAGGAGATTTTGTCCGCAATGATCTTAGTCAGAAGTTTTAGCGAGGTGCTCAGTAATGTTATTCCTCTATAGTTTGCTGGGTCTGTTTTATCTCCCTTTTTAAAAATGGGTATTGTTATACTTTGTTTCCATTCTTCTGGTATTTTCTTATGTTGTAATATAATGTTAAACAGTTTTGTGTATTCGTCTATGATAGCCGTGCCTGCGTTTTTTATTAGCTCGTTTAGTATTTTATCTTGATTAGGAGATTTTCTATTTTTAAGTTTTCTTATTGTCTCTTCTACTTGCTTGTAAGTGATTTGCGCATGATCTTCTGTATTATCTCTTTGGCTTGTCTCCTGTGCTTCCATTGGTTCATCTGTTTCTGCGTATAAGTCTCTGAAATATTTTTCCCACGTATCTTCTGCAATTGTTCTTAGTTGTATTGTTTCATTTGTTTCTCGTTTCAAACCCCTCAACATCTTCCAAATACGTGTTTGTGCTCCGTACATATCCGCCTCCATTTCGCTACTAAATCGCTGCCATTGATTGACTTTTTATTTACTATCCTTAATTAATAAAAAAAATGTCTCTGACTAATGTGACTCTAAATAGCGAAAGAGATCTATAATTCTACAGGTACCATCAACCATATCAAAAGTTAAGACAATACCCACATCCTACACTAATCTAACTTGGGCCACAAAATACACCAGCAAATTGAATCTGTTGGCCAACTTAAACAAAACTAAAACCGATCCAACTAAATTCCCTACTATTGCCAACAAATGGCTCCGTAAAAACCTTCCTCCGTATTTTTCCGTGTTTTGTTGTTCTTTCCCTGTTTACTTTTGGGAACTTGCAGACCCTCTTGTTATTTGTGCAGAAGAAGCAATAAAAGTCGAGTGAAAGCATTGTTTGAAACATTTATTGGCTTTTAAGTCTATACATGGTGGAAGTGCAAATAAGGGCTATGTCTATATTTTAACAATGTTTATTTTATTCTTTTCTTCGACCTCTCGATATATATTTCAGGTAAATTATAGTTATTTTTTATGCAAAGAAAAGATTTCGGAATAATAATTTCGGAAGATGATAATGCAATTTTATTGTCGTGTATAAAATAATATTTTTTTCCATAGCGAATTACGTTTTAAAAAATATTCAGAAATTATTATTTCAAGGAATTTATTACGAGTAGAAAAAATATTGTACTGAGTTGGCCTGGGTTTCTATGTAATTTGACAAATATAAATAAAGCTGCCTCTTTAGTTGTCAGTTTGAGCCAATATTTTTTAATTCTCTTTCGTGTCGATTGCTGATTGAATTGGAGCCATAAATGGCTCAAAACGAAATAAGTAAATTACCAACAGATATTCAGGCTGAGGCGACCAACGCCATATCCAAACTACTTCCATTTAAATCCCGAATAACTTATGAAAAGGGATACAAACATTTTCAAAAATGGAAGCAATTAAAAAACGAGCGAGAAGAAATAAAGTTTTTAACCTATCCTCGCTGTTAAAGTATCATTTTTAATCTACCCTTGCGTTTGAAGTACTATTTTATCTACTATTTTTGATAGATATAAGGCAATTTTAAAAGTTGTTATGGAAAAAAGAGAAAAACGTTTTTTTTATAAATTACATTAATTGACGTTTCGACCTGGTAGGGTGTTTATCAAAATTTATTACTTGAAAGTAAATTTCGGCGCATTGTTTCAGTTTTTAGCTTGATCTTTATTGTTTTCTTTTTATAATTTTATCCATTTTTATTCTTAGTGAAGAAAATAATCCAATATTGATAATCCAACAGACATAACATTAAACATCTCGATATAGTCGTCACAATTTTTGTAAAGAGACGCAGACACACACATTGAAGTGGATTTTACAACATTGCGCTCTCTTTTCACAACCAAGAAAAAATTAGATAAAAAATATTTAAACAATTGCATATGAAAAAAACTGTTATAAGAATGTATTTCTTAAAGTTCGACGGATGACATTTAAAAAATGACATTTATATATTCTGTCATTTCTTCTATGAATCATTTCATCTATGAATTAAAATTGACAGATATCTACTGTCATAGCAATATTTCTAATAAAAATAGATAAGTTATAATATAATTATTTAATAACAAAAAATTATACATTAATTATATTAGCCACACGTAACATATAATAAATAATTACTTCCTTGTGAAAATTATTCTTTTATTTATCTCGATTTTTTCTAAAGTCAATCTTTACCAAAAATTGCAATAATGTCGCTGTTAATTTAAGTTCTGTCATATTATTTATATTGTAACTCCAAAATAAGACACTTCAGAATCAAAATTGATATCAATACTTTTATTTACAGGGTTGCCATCTATGAGAGACAGTCTGACCAATCCTGTGCGCGCTTTCGAAGGGGAAGATGCGCTCATCACCTGCGTGGTGAGAGATATTGGAACCAACACTGTTATGTGGAAGAAGGAAGATGGTGAACGACATAGCACGAGGGTTTTGACAGCTTCTGATAACAGGGTGACAGCTGACAAGAGATTTAGCGTTTTACATGATTCAAGTAAGAAATTATTCAATTTATAATTCTAAAAATTGATATACTACCCGTATTTATGAGTTTTGCTAAAAGTAAAGTATTATACAGGATATAATGTATAATACTATAAAAAAAATAAAAATTAAATCATTTTTTTTATTATTCTTTCACTTGAAAGCGAAATATGTATAAAAATTGTGTTGAGCTGGACAAATCTTTGCGGATCTGTCGCATAGTATGACATTTTTCAAAAAATCTTTCGATAAGAGTAAGAACATTTATTTATTAATACTAATAATAAATAACGCTTTATTGTACAAAAAGCCAAAATAGCTTCATCGACAAAGCATTTAAAGAACAAACAAAAGCACTAAAAATATACAAATAATAAAAGATCATACAATAAAAAAGCATCATACAATAAAAAAAAATACGTCATTAAAATTACAAATAGAACATACATGAACATCGCAGAACACACAAAAAAACGTATCAATAAAAATTTTACAATTGGAGAATTGTAATATAGTCGGGAATAGCAGATATGTGTTTGCGGATTAAGCAAACTGATTCAAATATAAAATAACGAAGGAAGGGTCAGTATTTTGAAATTTTTAAAGAAATTCTGTCAGTGAGTTCTACTGTTCAGTCCCAATAAATATCGAACTGCTCTCTTTTGAAGTTTGAAAATACGATAAAATTTTGTCGCGCAGCAAGTGCCCTAGAATGGAAGGGCATAACGAAGATGCGACTAAAAAGGGCATAATAGACTATTCTAGAGGTTGATAAGTTAAGTTTGCTAACCATATTAGCATCATCAGCAGATGATTAAACTAACCTACAATCTACAATTTGAGCGTTTATACTCTCTCAGTGGGCACCGAGTGGACGTGGCAAGATCTAGCCAACCGAGTCAGAGCCCACCAAACGTAACAGTTAGATTTCCGTCACTAAAGTAGTAGGAACAAAGAACTTGAAGGAATTGGATCGTTTTCTCTCATACTATCTTTACATTTATTAGTTCTGATGCTTTCATATGCATCTAATTGCCTGTAATTTGAGACTTGTTCAATTACATGACAAATGTATGACAAATGACAAAAGTAAAAGTGTTTTGGTGCATTGTGGTGATTTAGCCCAAGCAGCATTTGGACGTCGTGTCACGCAACCAAACGTCGGGGCGCAACGTCGGCACAACCTCGTGCCAACCCTATTCTGCACTAGTTTGGAGAATAATTTTTGGGTCGAAACGACGTTGGATACCGACGTTGGCTAGCAGCCTAATTTAGTACAAACTGCAACGTTGTTTAAAATCCTAATTCACAGAAATACAAAACAATATGGCGTCTAAGTCGCGTTTTATCCTAAATTGGGATAATTATAGTAAAAATATTACTTTTATGATTTAGTTAGAGACATATGTCAGATGGCAGTGAAGGAAAACAAAACAAAAGTATTTAAGTGTGGAGGATGTTTGAAGGTCATAATTATTGAAACACTTTAACCGACTCTGTAACTCGTTACCCAAGGCAAAAAAGTTAAACGCAAACAACTTTATTGATAAATGTATTGTTTCTACTTTGAAAAATATTAATGGGCCTTAAAATTAAAGAAGTTTTAAGAATTTTCTTGAATTTTTTTTTTAGTAAAATGAGAATAATTTATTCGCAGTCGAAAAAATTGTTTCGCGTGTTTTTAGGGTCAAATATTTCAAGTTAATGTATTCAAAAAGCAGGAATTGCTATTTTAGGAACGAAACATTTTCTTATTTAACAACATGGCGGCTTTCACTTTGTTGTTTTGGAGATTAAGATGGAGTAGTTCGAGTAGTCGCATACTGGACTAATAAAGTCGCAGTTCGGCCTTAACAGGTAGTATACTAGTCGCAAGATTGCCTAATTTAGTCATCCTAGAGTCTAGCTTGTGCCGTCCTCTATAATATAAATAAACGAGGGAGTGGATAAACTATCGGTAATATAATATGTCGATGTATATTTAAATTTAGTTTTATATGTACCTTTCTTATGTCCCATTTTAATTAAGTTTTTTTTATAAAAACAAAAACAGCACTGAACTGTCTGACCGAACAGAACAATGAAGTGAAAATTTAAAATTTAAGGTTATGGTTCAATACAGTTGCAAAAGGTAGTGACTCGACGTCCTACCAACGTAAGAATAAGGAAATCTAAACAACGTTGGAATTAGTAAAACAGACGACGTTTGCATAACGTTGGAATAGGTCCTGAAACTGACGTCGGAAAACTCTATATTGTCCAACGTTTTAACTACGTTGTCCGAATCACCTAAAGATCACTTAAGCAAAAAAGGTTACAAGACAACGTTTATTCGACGTCGCAGAAGCTTCTACTTTGCTGTAGTACTAGTCCAACGTCGGCACAACGTTATAAAAACGTTTAAATTTATTTTAATACCCAAGGTAGGGAGCTAACTATTTTTTGTAACTAATCCAACGTTGTGTTTAGTAAACATGTGGTCGCAAGTCGTGAAAATGCTACTTGGGAGTGTTTTGTTTTGCTTAGTTACTTTAGTTAACTTAGGACATAAAATATTACTAATATATATTTCGAAAAACTGATTTGGATCGAGCAAATAAAAATAGAAATATACTAAAGTATTCAATAGACGTACAAAATAAAACCGTCGTACATCGTCTGTGTATGAAATTTATGCGTCAGACGAAAGAAATTGCAGTCTCACTGCAATTTCTTCTGTCAACTCGGCTTTTGTGATTTAAATCGACAAATGTCATTGGAAAGATAACGATATGACGAGGTTGCAGTGTGTTAGAATATATTTGCGGCATTTTCTTCAATTTTCTCTACCGTGCGCCGTATTTCCTTTCTCATTTCCATAATTTTATTTCAAAATAATATAAACAGGAAAAGATGCGTTATACGTGCATGCCTTATTTTCTATTTTATTGTATTTTATTAAACAAATACAGGGTCCCATTATGGTTGAAACATTACAGGGTCCCATTTTGGTTGAAAACATACGGTATCTCCATTATTCGTGAAGATAGAAGGGTGCGGTTTGTACAAACCTGTCCCACTTTTTTGTAAAACGGAAGATGCCGTAAACCAAATTTTCATAGCCATGTAATTGGTTAACATTACAGGGTTGAACAATACAGGGTCCCATTTTGGTTGAAATCATAGGGTATCTCCGTTATTCGTGAAGATAGAAGGGTGCGGTTCGTACAAACCTGTCCCACTTTTTTGTAAAACGGAAGATGCCGTAAACCAAATTTTCATAGCCCTCTTGTTTTCTGAGCTACAGGGTCTTTTTGAAAATTTTGCAATTTGGGACACCCCCTGTATCTCTGTTATTGTTAAAGGTATCGAGAAGGTGAATACTGTTTATTGTAGAACTTTTTATGTAGAATACAGTGGCGTAGTATGTTATTCTACGAAAAGAATATTTATACCTTAGACAAGGAAAGAGGGGGCACAGGTAACACGGCAGCTGAAAGTGAGGCCACTTATCACCAAGCGAAATTCTCCAATGGCGTAGCATCAGAAATTAGCTTGTACCTAGACGATACGGTATAATAATGAATCTAGCCAAACCCCTTTACACTTGCTTACGGATTCAATGAATAATGTAATTTTTAATATTTGTTACCTTCAATCATAAGAATATTCTAATTTTCCACAAAAAAATAAACAATTCTAGAAGCTATGTGTTATTTTATTTATTTATTTTTAAATTTTTATTAATTACTCACTGAAAATTATTATACACCTAAACTAGCAAATTTTTTGAAAGGCTATTTAAAAGAATATAGTAACAAGTAGTCCATCACAAGTTTGTCCACCCCCGACAAATCTTGGCAGGTAAATTTAAGTTTTATATAACAACTATAGTACATAGAGATTTTTTATCACTAGAATTTTTATTTTTTTATAGTTTACAATTATTTTACATATTTGATAACAATACTTTATACATTTTTTAATAAAATATATAAAAAAAATGTTTATTTGCAGAAATTGTATTTCTCTGATTATAATTCCCTACGCCACTGGAGAAATCCAGTCTGAGTAGCATTATTTATAGTTTCGAACATCAATTATAATACAGAATATTGAAAATACTACTTGGAATTATTAAAAATAGTTTGGTTTGGATATTATACAAGACATATTAAAAGCATTTTACATATTTTTACTGCTATAATGAAAAAAATGTACATTTTATGAATACATAACAAAAGTTATGTATCGATTTTTACCTGTGAAATGTAATTCCAGCCACTTTTTTCTCGCTTCGGCCTTTGCAGCCATACGCTGAACATCTCACCATACTAAACAATACAGTTTATAAATTTAGAACAAAACAGTAGTCACAAAAAACATAAAAATTCGCTCAGTGTCACCTCGAAATCTTGTCACCAAAGTATGGCAGCCGATCGAATTTTGAGAATACATTAAAATACGCAACCAACCGTCATTGAACCGTCCAATCAGATCAAAGGAGTAATCGTTGTAGATCGTGCGTTATCGATGATGTTCGGTACCTGGAGAAAATTGACAATTGACAAGAGAATTAATTGTTTATTATTTTTGACTTTTTAGTTCGTTTAATTTAATAATTACTAAAACCAGTAGTTCGAAAGATATATTTAAAAATAAAAGATAAAAATCCAAAAAATTAATTATCTATTAACGTGGATTTGGACGACAGTAGGTAAGAACACTAAATTATTTCTATATTCGATATAAACTTGTTTATTAGGTTTTTAGTTTGTGATGTTTCATGTGATGATCATTTTCATGTTCATCGTCTTTGAATTGACATGAGGATATCTATGGAAAAGTAACTAATCTGAAAGTAAGCCAACATATCGTTTGTCCTTTGTGTGCTAAAGAAAAGATTTTCTTTTCGCATCGTGAGGAAGTATTACATCAATTAAAAAATGTTAGGAAGTTGATTACTTGTCATGGAAAAGTATACCAATGGAAATTATTTGTTAAAGAAGTATAATTCTAAGGGTAAATTTTATTATAATTAGTAACCTGTCTATTTTTTATATGTAGATGTTTCAGGTTTTAAGAATAAATTGGTTGAACCCAAAATCTGGAGGAAGTACCTATATCCATACACAGAATATGCCCATTAAGAATACTAGTCCAAATTTGCTTTAATGGTAGGCAATTATTCAATACAAATTAACTTTTTAAGTGACTGAAATATTAAATAGTTTAGAATATGGTATAACAATGTAAAAAAATACTATTTTCAGGAACGATTAGGGCCCGATATATTTGAAACTCATGTTGGACATAGTATTGAGTTGGGTAGAATATTATTCTACGTTAAGTGAGGATATCAGATACCTATTATTGTACTGTATTTTAATATATACATTAGAATTGTTGGTTTTTTCATATTTGTTTTATATATTATTTTACTTACAAGTTATATAAAGTTAACACTAAAATCTACTTTTTGACTTATATAAGTTAGTCTGTGGTTTAATGCGTGATTACATCCACATTATGATTTCAAGTTTTTAAAATATAAATATTATAACTGGCTTTAAAAACTCCATTAAACTGTTAAAAGTGTAATTTATTTCAAAATAAATATACATATACCTATACCTAGGTATATATTAATATCGAAAAATATATATTAATATCGAAAGACATTTTTATTTCCTTAACACCAATTTAATCATCACATACATATGTATAAACATTTATTTACGTTATTTCAAATGAAGACCACAGGAAAAACCAGCTTTGTTCATTTTAACTGGAGCCGAGAAAATGCAATTACGAGTGAACTACTCTGGTTTTTCTCCTGTAGGGCAAAATAACCAAGCTGTAATATCTCTGGGACTAAGCATATTATTACTTCTTTCTTTGATGGTGCCTCGAATAATGCTAACACTTGCCTATAAAATTGTCTCGCTGTCAATTTCTATGAAAATGTAACATATTATCTGGTTTTTTCCGTGTAGTCTTCAAATGATCTAAAAATTCAGCAGGAATGATCCATTATGCAGCAAACACACTGATGTTGAATCATTGGAAGCTTTTTTGTGGGCATTTCACAAATAAAATGAAATATCTGATCAAAAACTGAAAATGCAAATCAGATAGTAAGCTTTATAAATACATACATATATATAAATAATCATACCTACATCTATTTATGTCGTACAATCCAACCGATATTTTAATATCCTAGCCCAAGTAAATAATCAAAAATGCACTTTTTATATCAAAAGCAGTAATGTTATCAAGGGTTCCAATTAATATCCAGGATTTAAAAAAAAACACGATCCTAATTCTTATTATTTTTCTAAATACGTATTGTCTGATAGGCAATTACAAAATATAAATCTGATGTAAATAGAAAAATAAAGTAAAAACTGTAAAAACAGGTAAAAACTCTTCGGTAAAAACAACAACAAAAATTCTAACCAAAGATTTAACCGTCATACGACATGAGTATCACGTGATTGCACCTTTCATCTGATTGGACGGTTGGTTGCGTATTTTAATGTATCCTCGAATTTTGACCTCAAAAACAGATCACTGGAGAATATGTGTGTTACCCGTCCCCTCTCTTTCCTTGTCTAAGATTTATTCGGCACTTAGAAGAAATTTAATAATAAATCCCAACTCCTACAAGTAAATTAGACATAAAATACGATTTTTTACGCTTGATTTGAACCTAATTCGTTTATCCCTTTAAAATTCTTCGATGAAGCGACCGAAATTCCATACATTTTTCTCCTCCTTCTAATTCTTTTTTAATAAAATCGTTTTGCTGCCCTCCTTCCCTTCTACCATCCTCATCTTTCATCATTTTCCATCTTTCGACATTATTAAATGAAATTTTGAGCCGGTGCCGGCATAATAAGTGTCGTCTCGGTTGCTTTATCCGAAAACTTTTATCAATATAGTTGGCGACCGTTAAGCCTTCCAATGCCGTCGAAGGATTCCAATATCGCAAGAATTTATATTGAATTCCCTGTTTAATAGTTGTAATCGGCTGGATCCGGATCTGTATTAGAGCCAGCCGATTACGATTATTAATTTTCTACTTTTAAAAGTTCAGTTAGAGAGATATTATATTAGAGCAGTGTTGCCAGAATTGAATGATTTTCTTCAATAAGAAGAATTTTACAGTTAAATTTCGTCGATTGAAGGGCTGAAGGATTTTTATCCCGAAAGAAGATGATATGAAGGTTTTTGGCAGTTTTACACAATAAAAATTGTTAAAATATACAGGGTTGTTCACCACATACGACACGAAGTATTGTAGCTAAACGACTAGATTTTTACAAATTGTAAGTTTTGGATTCGTTGAAGGACTATTAGAGCTACAATTTAAAAATATTTTTACAAAATACAGAGTGTCCCAAATAAATAAAAAATATCAAAGTTGTATTTTTTAAATGGAACACCCTATATATTATTACATTTTTAGTTTCTACGCTTAAAATAAAGGTAAATTTGATTAAGATTTATTACACTTAAACCTTACCGTTTTTGAAATATTTTCAATTTTGTGAAATTGCAGTATAAATTTTAAGGCTTCATCTTTCCGAGGGTATCAAAGTTTTATTACTAAATTTACTGAAGTTTATTTATTGATCAGTTATTGTGTTGCAATAATAAAACTTTACTACCTTATACAGAGTGTCTAAAAATTAATTTTAAATAATCACTAGCTTTAAACGGCAATAATTTGTTTAATTTAAATGGAACACCCTGTATATTTTATGAGAATCAGATGCACAATTTAATTGTCTATCAAATTGTATTATACCATTTTTTACCTATCTCTTCAAGTTTCTGTAGAAAATGCATTTTCTTGTAATTTAGAACCCATTTATCAATATACCCATCGAATACTGACATTTTAGATTATTTTTAAAGATGTACCAAATTTTTAAAGAGTACAGATACTAATATTGTCGATATAGTTCGTTTATTTCATTAAAAAAAACTGTTTAAATATTTGTTAAAGAGGACCAATTAATATGATTCCAGTATTCAAACTACATTAATTGACTGTTTGCGTTGATTAATAATAATTGCTTCAAATACTAAAAAGCTGAATTATGTATGTGTATTAGACAGTGTTCGACAAATGCCTATTTATAACAACAGAGACTTTCATTTTCATAACTTATTATTATATTGATTTCTGATTCAAATCCACATTTATTTAGAATAATTTATTAACGAACACAATTAAGTATGTAGTTAATTAGTATTTGGGCGGAAATACTGGTGGTATATTTAATTAATGGTATACTCTTTTATAAAGATTTAAATAGTTTTCTTTTTTGCATATAATGGGTTAGTAATATTATCGTTTTACTAAAAACGATAATATTACTAGCCTGTGCATTTTGTACATTTGTTGTTTTAAAAACACCTAAAATGTCAATATTCCATGGGTATATTGTAAATGAGGTCTAAATTATAAGAAAATGCATTTTCTACGAAAACTTGAAGGAATAGGTAAGAAGTGGTATAATACAATTTGATAGACAATTAAATTGTGCATCTGATTCTCATAAAATATACAGGGTGTTATATTTAAATTAAATAAGTTATTGCCATTTAAAGCTAGTAATTATTGAAAATAAATTTTTAGACACTCTGTATAAGGTAGTATAATTTTTATTATTGCAGCACAATAACTGATCCATAAATAAACTTCAGTAAATATTTAGTATTAAAAACTTTGATATCCTCGGAGAAATGAAGCCTTAAAATTTATACTGCAATTTCGCAAAATTGAAAATATTTCAAAATCGGTAAGGTTTAAGTGTAATAAACCTTAATCAAATTTACCTTTATTTTAATCGTAGAAACTAAAAATGCAATAATATACAGGGTGTTCCATTTAAAAAAATACAACTTTGATATTTTTTATTTATTTGGGACACTCTGTATCTTGTAAAAATATTTTTAAATTGTAGCTCTAATAGTCCTTCAACGAACCCCAAACTTACAATTTGTAAAAATATCATCGTTTAGCCACAATACTCCGTGTCGTATGTGGCGAACAACCCTGTATAGTAGGAGGTAGGGGGTATTTATTGTTTTTCCTGCATCTATTTCTTTCACTTTTACTTTAACGTTGTTTAATTAAAGTGCCCGGTGGCGTAGAGGTACAGGCTCTCGTCTACCAATTTCAAGGTTGTGGGTTCGAATCCTACACCGGGCATTTCAGCAGCCGACTATTTTGATCAAAATAAAATTAGTTTGGGTACCTAGGTCGACTCAGCCTTAAATGAGTACTTGGGATTCACAATCCTGAGGTAATAATAGGCGGTTGAAGCGTAGTGCTAGCCACATTACCTTCCTTGTATAGCGAACGGCTCTAGCATGGCAAGCTGTACCTTGCTACTCCCAAGGCGTCAAACGCTACATACGGGAGCTATTATTATTATTATATTATATTTATTAAAAAGTTAAACAATGCATTTTTTATTTTGTTTAAGAAAATAAGCATAGCGTATATTATATTTTTAGAAAGCTCATAATAAACCTTGTTATAAGCCAATATGGTAGTCAAATTATAGTATTGTTTTATACCTGTTTCAATTTGCAGGTACTAATGATGATGGTAGTACTGAAGTACCAACCGGTGGAGATGTCTGGGTTTTGGTAGTCAAAAACGTCAAAGCAACGGATTCTGGTATTTACGTTTGCGAAGTAAACAGCAATCCCATTGTCAGAAGCTTCCATAAACTCAGTGGTATGTTGTGGTACACTTAACTTTATAGTTCTTAAAAAACTAAATATTTCTTTACTTTTCAGTACTGTCCAGGGCGATTACTGCGAACCCTACCGATGTCATCATCTACGAAGATCCCAAACCCACATCGGGCTTCATGAAGAATCACAATTACACCGACTGCTGTATTGCTCAAAACGTTTCAACGGGGTGTCTTGGATTTTGTAACATACAAAGCATTTTAGAAGGTATATATTTGAGTCGATATTTTTATGCAATTCTATGTGCTCTGATAAATTTGAAGGGTTTAGAGTTGTTTAAGTTCTTTCAGTATATTTCATATTTTTACTAGGCATATACAGATTGTTTCAAAACAAATGCGAAAAACTTCAGGGGCTGATTCCTTGTTCAAAATAAAGGGTAGTTTGCTTCATAAACGTTGGGTCAAAAGTCAATCATTAGGGAGATATCGCGGTACAAAGATGGCGGAAAAATAATGTTTTAATTTTTCATCTTGAAAACGAAAAGAGATGGACTAATGAAATTTTATGGAAGCATTACTGTTATGAAAACACACTTTCTGGTAATTTTCTCACTTTTTTAAAATGAGTGGAAGGGGTTGAAATACATACATAACTACCCCTATTATACTTGTTAACGAAATTTAAAGAAAAATCTTATCAAACACATGCAAAAAAATTAATTTGGATAGTTTAGTTTGTTTAGAAACTTTTTTATCTCTTGTGTTTTTTTGATGAAACTCACCGATTTGAAATTAAAAAAATAAAATGTAAAGCATTACCCCATGTCAGGACAAAAAACATTTTTATTTTTTAATATGTACTTTTTTTATTATTTTGTACTTTCATGCATTAAAAAACAGAATTAAAAATTGTTTGGTAAATAATTTTTAAGAGGTTATCGTTCAGAAGAAAATGTAACGATATTATTACGAAATAAAACTGTTTGACAGCAGCCTACTAGATTCTTTATCCAAAAATGTTTTTTGTCCTGACATGATTGTAATGCTTTACATTTTATTTTTTTATTTCAAATCGGTGAGTTTTACCAAAAAAACACAAGAGATAAAAAAGTGTCTAAACAAACTAAACTATCCAAATTTTTTTTTGCATGTATTTGATAAGATTTTTCTTTAAATTTCGTTAAAAAGAATGATAAGGGTAGTTTATTTCAACCCCTTCCACTCATTTTAAAAAAGTGAAAAAAATACCAGAAAGTGTGTTTTCATAACAGTAATGCTTCCAAAAAATTTCATTAGTCTATTTCTTTTCGTTTTCAAGATAAAAAATAAAAACATTATTTTTCCGCCATCTTTGTACCGCGATATCTCCCTAATGATTGACTTTTGACCCAACGTTTATGAAGCAAACTACCCTTTATTTTGAACAAGGAATCAGCCCCTGAAGTTTTTTGCATTTGTTTTGAAACACCCTGTATATCATAGGATTTAACAACTTATCGCCCTGCACAGTTTATACATTTTGTTAGACCTACTATAATATTGTAAATTCTAAAATTAAGAAATTGGAATTTTTTTTCCCTGGACTCTTCATATGTTAAGGCCCCCACACACGCTCAGCTTTTTTGCACAGGCAGATTGTTCAAGCTTGCGAATTTCTGAGTTTCTTTCTTTTCACCGATCTTTTTTTCGATCTTCCTGCACAGACAGCCTAAGATATAGAACTGAGCGTTTGTGGGATCTCTTAAGGTAAACAAGAACAAAATTCAGAATAGGAATTACTCCATGTTTATCTAAAATTGTGGTTTCCTCAGTAAAACTGACAAATGTGTTAGTCTCGACAGCAATGATACACTTTGCAGTACTGGTTGTACTTTTATTGTTTTTTAATCATAGGTAGCACAGGTCAAGATCCCGAAAACTGTGAGCACGACTTTCCGTCAATTGTCAGGTGTATGGCTGATGGAAGAAACCACGTACCATGTTGCATTCACGAGAGAGTACCTGACATATGTCAAGATGTTTGCAGAGGCGAATACACTGCTATCACTGAGAATATCAAAACACATTTTTCATGCTCTGCTTATACCGAACAAACCTTGGCTTGTATCATGGAAGGAATAGGTAAAATATAATTATTTATTTAAAATCTCTATTTTGAGACTAATTTTTCTATTTTACAGAAATATTACCTGGTCCCCCTCAAAACGTCGAGGTTGAACCAATGACAGAACAGTCTCTTAGGATTGAATGGACGTTACCTCATGCCAATGCCGAGACTATAACAGAATACACAGTAAACGTCACAGCTTTGAGGACTTTCGACGAAACATCCGAAGAAGAACCTTTAATGAACAACCAATCCATTCTTATTAAGGTCTCTTTTTATTTTTGATTTTCTGTTTTCATTTTTTTATCATCTTCATTGATTACAAAACATGATTTTTTTGATGTAATATGATTTTTTTTATTTCGGTTTTACTAGATCACAACATTTCCGTGAGTAAAGAAGCTTTTCAATCATAACAAATCATATTTTAGATACCTAGTCATGAAAATTCTACAATTGTTCAAGAACTGCAACCTTACACAATGTACGAAGTGTCAGTAACAGCTCATAACATCATTGGCTCTTCTTTACCAAGTTATTTCGTAAGAACATTGACTTTAGCTCCAGGAAAAGTTATGGAAACTATTAATGGAAAGGTTCCTCCACTACCTGACATCCGAAGTTGCTGTATTAACAAAGGTAAGCTTAAGAACAATCCTTTTCTTTGCTTTTATTTTTTAATTAATCTTTTTTTTAAGGAATTGGACACAAAACTTGTCTAGATAAACTGTGCGATCCACTTGAGGCAGATAAAGTTGAGATAACGGATTTGATGATTTGCGCTCCATGGGCTCAAGATACCTTTAGTTGTCTTACTAACGGCATTGATCATACCCCTTGTTGCAAAGCTAAAGGTCTTCCAGATATCTGCCAACAACTGTGCAATGGAAGTGTTTCCAGTATCGACTTCAACCACTTCAAGTAAGCAAATTTTACTTGAAATAATTAATCAGCTTTCTGCTTTTTTTTGAACTAAATATTCTAATAGGTGTCTCCGATATATGGGAGAGTACAACAACTGTCTTCTACAAGGCTATGGAGTACTACCCAGTGCACCTACTCAAGTGCATATCACCAACGTAGCCAGCGAGTATGCCTTGCTTCATTGGTCATCACCTAAGACTCTTGGTGATACAGTAAGGAGTTATAATATTCACATTAGAAAAGTGAACACAGGAGATGAAGAGGAAGAGTCAGAATATCATGTAGGTACTTTAGATTAGTAAATATAAAATATCTTCTCTAAGATTCAAGTTAGAGATTATTAAACATATCTATAACTATTTCTTTTAGGTTATAACAAAAGCACGAAGCCCTTACGTTTTAGAAAACCTGGACAGTGTTACTGATTACGAAGTCTACCTAGAAGCTGTGAACGTGCACGGGATCGGTAACCCGAGTCCCAGGTTGATTTTCCGCACTGGCAGTAAGGTAAGTGTCACTAACTGTCTGTCACCTGTTTGTTTAAAAACCCTTAAAATCATCAATGATGTATATCTAAATTAAAAATGAGCTCGATCAAGAGTGAGACCTCTGATACCAACCAATCGAAACTCAAGAATAGTCTGAAAAATGGCCAGAATATACCACCGGTACGTCGTGCTACAATAGACGAACATTTCGAAGAAGAAAACGTGAGTTTAGTTGAAGACCATTTTGGAAACTATACCGATGAAGACGGCATCATTCACTCGATAAAACGGTTTACCTGGAAGAACAAGAACAAAATCCAGATCCAGGTCATCAATTATGGTGCTAGAATTATTTCAATGAAAGTGCCAGATAGAAAAGGCGATATAGAAGACATAGTTTTGGGTTTTGATGATTTGGCTGGTTATATTTTCTACGACAAACATCCTTTGGGAAGTGTACTAGGAAGAGTCTCAAATTCTATTAAAAACTCGACTTTTATTGTAAATCATAAACGTGTAACTTTGAAACCTAATGATGGACCACATTGCATTAATGGAGGTTTAAAAGGCTTTGATAAAACCGTTTGGGACACTTATGTTAATGGTAAAAAAGTGATCATGAGCCATGTAAGTCCTCACTTACACGAAGGCTTCCCTGGTGATCTTTTGGTGCGTGCTACTTTCGAACTATCAGCAAAAAACGAGTTTAAATTATCGATCAATGCACAAACAACCCTTCCAACCATAGTGGATATCTCAAATTTGGTTTACTTCAACCTAGCAGGGCATCATACAGGGCCTGACGAAATATACCGTCACCTTTTGATGTTGAACTGTAACTGCTTCACTCCCCAAATAGAAGGGTTTTCAACAGGTGCTATTCTTAATGTTATCCATACTCCATACGATTTTCAAGTTCCAAAATTATTGGGAAAGGTAATGGGGGTTGTGCCTAAAGATGGGTACCATCAGAATTTGTGCGTTAACAGAGGAATGTACCAGAACGATTGCTTTGTTGGGAGGTTGTTCCATCCTCCTAGCGGAAGAATGTTGGAAGTATACAGCAACCAGCCCGGAGTCCAATTTTCCAGTGCTAACGAATTTGGAAATGGTAACTTAAGCTCGATGGAGGATTTTGAAGATTGCGAAGACGACGACGAGTATCCTACAGAGATTGTAGATAATTCTATGCTACTGTACGAGAAAATCCACGAAAAAATAATGGGTCTTTTGGAAATCGACGAAAAACAAAATTTCGAAGAAATAAGAGAACTAATATTGAAGTTTAGAACACTAAATGATCCGGAATCGTTAGAAAAAATAATAGATGACTTTACAATAACGCCCATGCAGAAGCAGTACCTCTCTAAAGCCAGAGAAATTGTTTGTGAAGATGAAGAAACAGACGATGATTGTTTGGATCTCAAAGAAACCTTGAGTGCGATTTTAAAGGTTGCAAATGTTAAGGAAGCCGAATTGAATATCCCAAAACCTAGTAATGGTACCGATGAGAATTTAGCCAATGAACCTCAATGTCCAGAGAAGTTATCTCTAAAACCGATTTCTTTAAATAAAATACCTTCGTACTACAAAAATCCAAATGATATTAGGGGTAAAGGTCGCGTACAATATAACGCTCACAGTGGTGTGGCTCTGCAAACTCAGAACTACCCGAACGCAGTGAATTTTAAGAACTTCCCCAGCTGTGTTCTGCAGCCTGGAGAGGAATATAAGCATGAAATAATGTATCGGTTTTGGGTGAGGGCTGGGAACCCAAACAAGTGGATCAAGAGGAACATGAACGAAGCAAAACAAAAAAATAAGTAATGCTGTTGAGAACTGTATGAGTGATTTGAAATAAAAGACTTTATTTTTGAAATTTGCTTTATTTACTAGTTGTGAAAGTTGTGATTACTGTACTTTGTGGTAAGTTTTTTACAGAAATCTTCTTGAAATAGTCATTGAAAAACTAATATTATTAGTTTGCAAAGACTACTATTCTCGGACGATGAAATTAAAAAATCAAAAAAAGACATTGAATAAAAAAAATATACAGTTTGGCTCATTAAAGTCGAATATCGTTTTTATTGTTTCATGATTTTTTGCCTTATATTGTACTACTCAAAAAGCCAGGTACTACTGAACTAGATACAATACAATGTTGCAAATATCTGCGAAACGGTTAAAGATATAGGAATACTTTAAATACAAAAAATGGCCCCCTTTTTATCCTGCATATAAATGAAAAATAATATACGGAGTGTGGCATTTAAACAAATTGAGATATATCATTTTAAATATTACTCTATTGGTCACGCCATAAAATATCTGGTATAAGATTGAAATCAATTGTCTGATATAGATACAAGAAAACCTAAACTCAATATTTTTCTAAGATTTAACGCATGGAGAGAATAATTTATACCTTTTCTGTAGAGAATATTCAATGTTTTAGATTGAAGAAGAAGAGATTGAAGAGGCCTCTGTATACAATGTCACAGCCTGCTGCGTAGAAGCCAATCTAAACAGCGCATGCCTGCCTTTATGTACTTATGACGCTAACATGAACGACATCAAACGGTTAGCTATGTGTGGATCAGGTAAATTATATTAAACACTACTTTACATGAACTTTTTTTATTATTGTAATATTTTCTTCACTAGCTGTTTGCTTTCTATGTTCTTTCTTTTTTCTAAACTTGTGAAATTTAATTCTTGGTTTATTTCGAATAAAATCGCGGCAAATAATAGATAAAAGTGAGCATTAATGCATAACATTTTAAGTCATACAAAACCCTAATATTTGGTTGATATTTTGTAGAATTCCATACAATCTTACGATGTGCAGCTGGAGGTAGAAACCACGGAGGTTGCTGTAGCAGAAGAGGAGTACCGTCAGCCTGTCTTCCTTTATGCTCAGGTGTAATCGTGGGTTCTCTCAGAAGTACCGCAGCTACTTGTGTGACTTATATCGGAAACATTGTTCAGTGTTTTGAAGAAGGTAAAAAACGTTTAGCATATACATGGTAATTCTATATATATAAAATCGACCATTTTAGGCACAGAAAAGCTTCCAGGACCGGTGACGTCACTCCACGCAGTCTCAGCTGATTCTACCACCTTGGTTCTGGAATGGTCCCCGCCTGACGATGGTGCTAACGTCACTGATTACGTCATATACTACCAGAAAGTCGACAATACCTCTATGCACGAAACGCTTTTAAAATTAGACAAAGTATGTATTATTTCATTGATGATTAAATTAATTTTAAATATTTAACTTGAAAAATACGTTTTCCCAACTGATTTTCTTCATAGCAGGAAACTACTGGTGGAAACTATTATGCTTTAACAAAACTGGACCCTTTTGGCACCTACCAAGTGTTTGTAGTAGCACGTAACGAGTATGGTACTTCACTACCTTCGTCCATTGTGTTGGTGAAACTGTCAAATTGGAATGAAAGTGAATGGGTTAACGCCGTGGTATCCCCTCCACACTCTCTGGTAGTGGCAAGTCACAGCGCCACATGGGTTACCATCTCGTGGCAACCTCCTGAGTTCAGTCATCCCTCAGAAAGAATCAACTACAGGTACCTTATTTTTCGTATTATTGGATATCTGGGATAGATATGATGACATCAAAAAACAAAAAAGGGGTGTTAACGATTCCTTTTTGTTGCTAAGATTAATCTGGATGGGCTTACTTACATGTCACTACTACTAGTAGACACTCACCAAGTCGGTAGGCCATTGACAACCCATATAACACAACACAATCCTATAAATATCTTGAGGATATCCACCAAGGATATAGTAAATATCTTAGGGATATCCAAAAACCAGAGGAGGATATTTATGGGATATCCAGATGGGACAAAAAAAGTCATCTTCAAGACATCCCTAGGCAAGCCTTTTACGATTATTTGGGATATTTATAGGATAATACAAGGATGATGTTGGAAGCATTATAGAATATTTTTAGGACATTATATGAGGACTGTTATTTGACAATACTTTCTTCATCCTTAGTTTATAGTAAAAACGTTCCCGATTTAGTTTTATTTGGCCACATTTTGACGTTATTTATTGGATATTTTTATTAACAGCTATAAAATATACCTACATATTATGTCAGTGAATTTTGCGTCAAAATTTAGAAGTTTATTTGTATGAGTTAAGACCTTTCAATTTATACTGTACCATCGAAAAAAAAACGGCGTTCAATTGGCTTGAAAATTACGATCGATGACATTCCCCATATAATTTTACATACAAAATAACAGCAATCTTCATTTCCAAGCCACCTCTGACGCCGTTTTTTTTCGATCGTTTGGTATTATAATAGATTATACTACCCTTTATGGAGTCTAGCAGTTTATGTCTAGGATGTCTAACAGCAACAGTTTACATCAAAGTTAGCACACAGTGGCACACAGGATACAGGCATGGTACAAAGAATACAAGGTATGATATTGCGCAGGTTGGTCGCTACGTCACAGGTGATAACTGGCGCTATTGGTCAGCACTCTCCGCGCGCCAGTTCAAATCGTCAAGATATTGTTATAAACCTGTTTTTTTGTTTATATACCGTCATTGAATTATCGCTAAGCAAGTTACTGTGGAGCAGTGCGTAAGGAGTCGGGCTAGGAAGCGAGAGACCTGAGTTCGAATCTCGGCCGGGACATAACTTTTTATTTATTTTTTAAATACTGTTGTATTCTATAGTTTATTTTTGTAGTATAAAAAAAAGAACTATTTATTCTGTTATTTTTTAATCTCCGGTATTAATATAAATTGATTGTTGGTACAACACCTCATTTAATATAAAATAATATTCTACTTTTTGAAATGTATCGGGCACTAATTGTACCTAAAAGTAATATATTTTTAGTGATATACCATATTGTAAACTATTTAATATTTCAGTCACTTAAAAAGTTAATTTGCATTGAATAATTGCCTACCATTAAAGGAAATTTGAGCTATATAATCCTTGAGGTCATATTCTGGGTATGCAAATACTTCCTCTAAATTTTGGGTTTCGTTCAACCGATTTATTCTCAAAACCTGAAACATCTACATATAAAAAGAAGCACAGGTCACTAATTATAATAGACTTCACCCTTGGAATTACTTCTATCACAATTACAATACATTCATCTGCATTGGCATTTTCTACTTTTCGATGGGAAACTTCAACTTCCCAACATTTTTTAAATGATGTAACAATTCCTCTTGTGGTTACTTTTCCATAGATATCCTCATCTCTGTCCTCATGTGAATTCAGAGGCAATGAACATGAAAATTATTTACCATAAACATCGCAAACTAAAAACCTAATAAACAATTTTATACCGAATATAGAAATAAATTTAGTATTCTTACCTATTATTATCGTCCAAATCCATGTTAATAGATAATTATTTTTAAATATATTTTTGGAACTGCTGGTTTTAGTAATTATTAAATTAAACGAACTAAAAAGTCTTAAAAATAAACAATTCTTAACCATAACCCCAAAAAATGCAGATCTCCTGTCAACTTTCTTTATTTTTTATTTGTTTATTATTTTCCTAGTGACGTCACAGGTGGTATGCGCGAACTGAACGAAATTGGAGCCGCTATCGATCATACCTTGTATTCTTTGTACCATGGGATACAGGTATAATTTCTAACACCACACATTCCAGAAACTCACAATTTAAACACAAAAATAGGATTTCTGTTCGAATAGATCAAACACGAAAATGGGTTTAGGGATAAAGAACAAGCGCTTTTCAACAAATTTTCACCTATAATTTTGTTACAAATTTTTCATTGTGAGACCCTGAGTCGTTCGTCGTTTTTCGACATTAGTTGAGGTTAGGATAGAATTTCTGCTAGAACAAGGCTAGAACTATGAGTATAAGAAAAAACTAAGTCAAACTCAACCAGTTTTATTAGTTTCAGTCATTTTTAAGCCCATTCAATATCAACAAACGACCGAATTCACCTCGAATTTTACTAAATCAAAGAACTGAATAATACACGATGCAAAAACAAACAACTGTCGAGATGGATTGTGGGAAATTTTTTGCGCGGGCGTTTTAAATTCTCTGTATTACTGGGAGTGGCCAAGCTCATAAATATCCAGATTATCCAACAGGATATTTTGTTCCCTTGACGTAATATATATCTATCTGTATGGTTTATTGCATTTTATGTAATATAACAAGTAGTACATTATTTATTTTTCCTAAATATCTAGACGATGTTGTTAGGATATTTTATTATCATGAGCATGTTTGGATATCTCAGCTGGATGTACATTAGATATAAGACAGATATATCCATAGGATATTCTATTCTGAGACATCTACCCCAAGCGGCATTTGGACGTCGGGACAACGTTGTGTCACGCGACCAAACGTCGGGGTGCAACGTCGGTACAACCTCGTGCCAACCCTACTCTGCACTAGTTTGGAGAATAATTTTTGGGTCGAAACGACGTTGGATACCGACGTTGGCTAGAAGCCTAATTTAGTACAAACTGTAACTTTGTTAATATGGCGTCTAAGTCGCGTTTTAACCTAAATTGGGATAATTATAGTAAAAATATTATTTTTATGATTTAGTTAGAGACATATGTCAGATGGCAGTGAAGGAATACTAAACAAAAGTATTTAAGTGTGGAGGATGTTTGAAGATCATAATTATTGAAACACTTTAACCGACTCTGTAACTCGTTACCCAAGGCAAAAAAGTTAAACGCAAACAACTTTACTGATAAATGTATTGTTTCTACTTTGAAAAATACTAATGGGCGTTAAAATTAAAGAAGTTTTAAAAATTTTCTTGAATTTTTTTTTTAGTAAAATGAGAATAATTTATTCGCAGTCGAAAAAATTGTTTCCGCGTGATTTTTAGGGTCAAATATTTCAAGTTAATATATTCAAAAAGCAGGAATTGCTATTTTAGGAACGAATTTAACAACATGGCGGCTTTCACTTTGTTGTTTTGGGAGATTAAGATGGAGTAGTTCGAGTAGTCCCATACTGGACTAATAAAGTCGCAGTTCGGCCTTAACAGGTAGTATACTAGTCGCAAGATTGCCTAATTTAGTCATCCTAGAGTCTAGCTTGTGCCGCCCTCTATAATCTAAATAAACGAGGGAGTGGATAAACTATTGGTAATATATGTACCTTTCTTATGTCCCATTTTAATTAAGTTTTTTTTATAAAAATAAAAACAGTACTGAACTGTCTGACTGAACAGAACAATGAAGTGAAAATTTAAGATTTAAGGTTATGGTTCAATACAGTTGCAAAAAGGTAGTGACTCGGCGTCCTACCAACGTAAGAATAAGGAAATCTAAACAACGTTGGAATTAGTAAAACAGACGACGTTTGCATAACGTTGGAATAGGTCCTGAAACTGACGTCGGAAAACTCTATATTGTCCAACGTTGTAACTACGTTGTCCGAATCACCTAAAGATCACTTAAGCAAAAAAGGTTACAAGACAACGTTTATTCGAAGTCGCAGAAGCTTGTACTTTGCTGTAGTACTAGTCCAACGTCGGCACAACGTTATAAAAACGTTTAAATTTATTTTAATACCCAAGGTAGGGAGCTAACTATTTTTTGTAACTAATCCAACGTAGTGTTTAGTAAACATGTGGTCGCAAGTCGTGAAAATGCTACTTGGGACAGGATTTCAGGATGTCTGGAGAATATCCTATAGATGTCTTTATAAGATGATCTTATACGATGTTATAATGGGACATTCCGACATTCTATGAATATCCTGCGGATATTGTGTGTTATATGGGAATGATATGGCTGAAGACCGCAATTCAGATTCCGCGTAAACAAACTAAGCCCTGTTCAGATTAGCCCTGGCAGCAGAAATTAGACATGAACTTAAAATACTTAAATGTTTTTATCATTTACTATTTTACAGATTGTATTATAAATCAAACTCTGATGAGACGTACCAGATCAAGAACAGCTCTATAACATCTTACATGATCCAAAACTTGAAGCCCAACACTCAGTATATCATTTACGTAGAAGCTGTGAGCGATAAAGGTGTCAGTATGCCCTCAGAAACTCTGATCGCATGGACAGATCCTGCGTATCCAGCATTCGTAGAGGTAAGATATACAGGATGAGTCTTAAGTAAGTGCAAATATTTTTAGGGGTAATATACCGTATGATCGAATAAAAACGGCGTCAGCGATGGCTATGAGATGAAGATCGCTGTCATTTTATATGTAAAATTATATGGGAAATGTCATCGATCGTCATTTCATAGCCAACTGGACGCCATTTTTTTTCGATCATACGGTATTTCGACCCCAGGAACACGTCTATGAGGTTTTTTTCCCAAATAAAAACGATGTTGAAAATCGTGAATTTTCTTTTAAATCTTCTTGTATATTTTAGAAAACCTTTTAGAATCCGCAAATTTTCCCAAGGTATAATTTTTTAATCTCTGATATTACCAAAGATATTTAAACTCAAGAGATACAATTGTTTACCTTTTTCCTTCATCGGCCATTATTCTATCCTTATTTTCGCATCTCTCTTACACCGAAAACATTTGCCAGATTTACCTGTATATTGGTATTAGTATTCGATTAAATACCACAACCAATTAGTAAGTAATAAATAATTTCGTTACATTTCTATAATATATCAAGTACATTAATTTGCTAACGTCAATTTTTTCATTTAATGCTTAACAGCTTAACTATTTTAAATTTTATAATGGAATAAAAATATCATAATCGTGTTTCTTTTAATAATAAAAAGCAGTTTGGCAACGTCAGTTTTAGAAATATGCCAGCGTAGTACAACGGATTTCGAGGATGAATGAAAATTCCTAGATTTTCCTGTTGCGATGTTGCTATGCCGCCGATCAAGCTCCGTATTCTTTCCCCCCCGCTCTCTGTTCTCGCCATTTTATTTTATTTATGATTTATAATATCAAATAATTTTGTTTAGATTTGTAATAATTTCATTTAATGACATTCATTTATCGAATTTTAACTACAGAGCAGACTCTCTATTTGTTCTCATTGTTTCACTACCTTGACCATGATCATTCGACTAGGCAAGTGCATTATTTTAAAATTCCTCAACACCGTACAGCTAACTTCCAAAAATCTTTCAGTTTCATAGCGCCACATTTGTGGAATAATATTTCTAATAACTTTAAATTTCAATCCTTTACAGATTATAAAAAACAAATTAAAAAAATTTACTCAATTCATAACAATAAATCGTTTAAAAAATTATAATTTCTTCGACTGATTTGTGAGGTTCTTGTTCTTCTGATATGCCCGTCATTGGTTGCTGTTCCGGTTACACTGTTTCGTTATGCCTCTCTGCTTATCTCCGCTCATCCCTGATAAAATTATATTTTCACTTTTTTTATCTAGTGTTATTTTTTTTAATTCTGTTTATTTTTATAATTTAATTTATTGCTATTTTGTTTTTGGGGTCGCACCACTCTGGTACTTTGTGTCATTGTATCGGTTTTTTAATCGCGGTGCGATCCCTTTAGACACACATTTTAGAAGTTGTAAAATTCATATACTCGTATGTATATAATAAATATACATATAATAATAAAGTTTTTATCAAAAATATGTGTCTACAAATATTAGTTTTTGGTAAAATATTGTGTTACTAGGTTAAAATAACTATTTTATTTTGTTATTGCTAATAGAGGGAGTCGCATTCACCGGAGATGGACAAGGTTTGGAACAAGATATTGAAACTGCATTTACTAATACACCCAAAATTTGATATTTTATTTAATAAAATAAAATAAAAAACGCTTATTAATTTTTTTAATCGTTATTCTTATGTGAAAAGCCATCTTATAATAAAAAATTATGCCGGTTTTTATTTATTTCGCTATCCTCCCTCCACTTAGCCGATACCCTATTCCCTTCTTTGTCCATTCTCTCTCGAACTCGTTGATTTTCGCAAAACAAATGTGTGATGAAGGTTTAGAGCGTTTTATGAATGGATCGTTGTATCTCCCGAGTTTAAATATCTTTGGATATTACCGTGGTTATGGAACTAAAAGGGATGCAAATACAGAAAAAATCCGGTGGCTCTCAGTTTTTTTTTTTAATTTTTAAACTTGAATATCTCCGAAAATATTTGCACTTATTTAAGACTAACTCTGTATATATGATAGTAAAAAACACTACTTGAAGAAAAAAAAATATTTTTTTTTGTAATCTTTACTTGATTATTATTTGTTGTTGGTTTTATACAAATTGTAGAAATTAGAAACTATATTGTGCCAAGACTTGGATTAGAGTTAATTTTAAGTAATTTTCTCAAAATATAAACTAATATTACAAAAGTAATGATAGCTAGAAAAAATAATAGAAGGTAAAATGATGTGGTATGACAATTACTCTTCTATTAATTTATTTGGTGCATAAATCACTACCTTTCCTATGGAAAATAAAGTAAAATTCTCTATATTATAAATTATAATTTTTAGCCTCCAACTGTGCATCCCATCAACCTGGTCATTGAAGGAAGCAGCATGACCATCTTGTGCATAGCAATGGGCAATCCAATGCCAACAATATCCCTCTACATTTCTGGACGGTTAGTTAGACAGGACACAACGAGACATATGGTGACAGTGATTCATAACGTTACAAGGGACATGGACCAAATATCTTGTTATGCTGACAATGGATATGGTACACCAATGCAAGCTTCAAGAAGAATCACCATTAGTCGTAAGGAAATTTTATTTTTTGTAGAGTACTTATAGGTTATTTTTAATTAAATTAAAATGTTTTTTTTGCTAGACAAACCAACAATTCAGGCCAGTGGAATCACTATGGCGACCATAGGCGATTCGGTAACTCTAGAATGCAAGGTGGAGGCAACTCCGGAACCCAAGATGATCTTCTGGAGGAATCACGAGGACAGAACTCCTGTGATACAAGGCGGAAAGTACGATATCAACATCGTGAATGCTAAAGGCGAAGATGACAAGTACTACATGCACCTCACCATCAAACAAATAACAGGTATTATCACAAAAGCCTCTAAAATATTATCTTTAGATACATATATTCTTGTAGAGGTTGATGTGGGAGAGTACTACTGTCATGCGGAGAATGCTTTCGGTACCGCGACTCAACCAGTGTCAGTGAGAATCAGGAAAATGGCCCCAGTCAGTAATGTTACTCAGTGTTGTCTGGAACAAAACGTTACATCAACTTGCATGGATGCGTGCTCATTCCATCTGGACATTGATGCAGTTATTGATAAACCTGAATGCATTAAGGTAAATTTTAAGAGTGATTTTAACTTAGACTTTATCATTCTCTAGGAAGCATTTTTTATACTACTGTATTTAATAGTAGTACCTAGAGACAGTCTTGAGTGGAACCTCAGATTAAGAATATGAGTACTATGAATAGGGAAACTAAGGGTATTTCAAAAAACATATGCCATCTCTCGTGGGGTGATTCCTCACGTAAAAAGAAGACTTGTTTTTCATATCAACATCAGATGAGAGATGGCACATGTTTTTTGAAACACCCTGTATAAAACGAAGATATTACCCTTGTTTATATATTCTTAAAGTTGGTCAACCTCTCGACAAAATGTGCTGCCTCTGGTGAACAAATCTTGAAGCTTTAAAGGAATGAAGCATGTGATTAGGGGCGGAGTCAAAAATATCGATTATTTGCGGTATTTCCCTCAGAGTAATGTAATAATATAGCTCGGATTTTTGCGAACTATAATAGGGCTCAGCTGATTAAGAAATTTAAACAAAACTATTATTTCATTGTTGATTTTCGATTATTTTTGCTGTTATTTTAAGGATTCTAAACCGTATTTAACAAAGAAATAACAATTTTCAATATGTTGGTACATTAATGCTAATTACTAGTAATTATTAATATTTAAAAAAAGTTATATATGCTTACTTTATTTCGATTTGACCCAGGGCTATAAAATTTTATTTCATTCTTCGATCATTTTATTCTAAATTGAGGTTTTACGAATTTACGATAATTTTTTTTGAAAACAAAACGTTTATACATTCTTGATTAAATTTTTTCTTAATTAAAAATTAAAAATTGGCACTTGTGTCAATAATATTATTTGACATTTAAATAAATATTATGTACTTAACACACCATTTAAATCTTTATTACACGAAATAAATCTTTCTTGGCGTAAAACATGGTCAGAGTCAAGTTTGCTTTAACTTTGTACCATATGAAAAAAAAACCGGCGTCCAGTTGGCAGGGAAATGACGATCGATGACATTTCCCATATAAATTTACATATAAAATGACAGCGATCTTCATTTCATAGCCATCGCTGAAGCCGTTTATTTTCGATCAAGAATTATAAAAACTGAAAATATCATTATGTTTTAACTCACAAAGCCCGTTAAACCATAAAACTTTCTAGGATATTGTTTTATTAGGAGTAAAAATGACACTTTTCGTGGCGAGACTGTACGTTTGACATACAGCTGAAGCACAAAAGTCATTTTTACTCCGAATAGAACATGCTATTTTTTTCAAAAGCCACAAATAATGTTTTAAACAATTTCAAACGTTCCAAATAATATAAAAATATTTAAAACTCATACCTTGTAAGTAATTATCATGATACAAAAAAACAGGTATGATATTGCGCAGGTGGTCACCACGTCACAGGTGATAAACGGCAATATTGGTCGGCAAGCTCCACGCGCCAATTTCAAATTTTCAAACAGATGACACATAATAAATGTGTATAATGTGTCATAACTTTTCAAATGTCCAGCTCGATGATTTTACATAACTTTAGGGGTTATTTAATTCTTCCCTATTTTAGGTCTTTTTTTATTAGTGGCAATTGAACAATACGGATATTTTGTTGTATGGCATATGACGTCACAGGCGATATGCGCAAACTGAACGAAATTGGAGACGCTATCGACCATACCTTGTTTTCAAGTTTTCTTTGTACCATGAGTAATTATATATCGAGAAACTATGGTTACGGCTCGTTGAATTTGAGACTTATGTCATTTTAATAATATATTTTCATACTTTTATGCTTAGGCGTAAAGTGCTTTACTTTTATGCCTAGGCGTTAAAATGACTTTTTTATATTGTCAATCACGTCGCAAAAATTAATACTTTTGTGACGTTTGAAAAAAAAATAATATTTTGAAACTAACTGGTATATTTTTCTGCCACAACAAAGTTATTATACAGTGATAAATGATAAGATCATATTGAAATACGCTACTGGGTAAAAAAAATTGGCTAAATTTTATCAATAATACTCCATTTCAAAAGTTATTTTCCAAAATAATTAATATTTTTTAATAATTGATTGCAATTAATATTATTTGACTAGTTTAATTTGATTAATTAATAAGACTAGATTAATTTCATTTAAAATAAATTTGATCAGATTTTTTTCGTATATTCAACTACCAGAAAAGTAGAAGGAAGATTATAATGTATCTATCACAATATTTAAAAGAACTACTACAATAATTATTAGAAGAAAAACAAAAAGAAAAAAATACCCAAATACCTTCACCTTCTACTCAACTACAAAATAAATGAATATAATCTCTTACAAGAACACTACACAAACTACTTCTTGTATTCTACACTAAACAAATTATCAAACTTATTAATTAATCAAACATAAAGAAAAATTAACCAAATTACCCCTTCACCTACTACTTAACTTCAAAATAAAATATAAAAACACTACTAAATTTCTTCTGGTAGTCTACACTAAACATTATAATCAAACTTAATAAATTAATCTAATTTTACATTACAACTACAAAGAAACAAGAAAATATTTTAAAACTACAAGAAATAAAACTTCGATACGTGCGACCAGTATAATAGATCAAGCGGACAAAGAATATAAAATACTTTAAAATGTGCATTCAGAAAGAAAAAATATCTCGAAAATTATCTAAACAAACATTTTTTTTTCTTATCAGTGAAAAACATCAACCTCGTCGGCCTTGCGGAATTTGTCGGGTATTTACAATGGTCGAATTGTATAATTACCAGCTTTTATAGCATATCTAATAGATAAAAAGTATCTGGTCGATTAGTAACCAATTGGCACAGTCCAAAAATTATCGATTTTTATTTTCTCTGTTTTTATTGGCCGCTTCAAAATTCAGAGTAACAAAAAATATTTTTCTCTAGTAAAAGAACTTGAAATACGCCCCGCCATCTGGTGCTTTACATCCATAAACGTCTTAGGTTGAGCTACTTTAAAAATTCATATACAAGGATATTACCTTTTTTTGCTACACTTGTTTGGCTATTTTGAGCCCTGAAAATATGTGCACCTATTTAAGACTTACCCTGTACATATTTAAGGTTGAAACGATTTTGTGTGCTCTTGATGATTTTACCCATTATTTCTTACTGCTAATGAATTGTTTTTTATAACTTGGTTTAAAGGATTTCGACAAACTGATGAAATGTGGATCAGACGGTTCCGATCATAGAAACTGCTGTGCACAAGCAAATGTACCACGAAAATGTCTGGACTGGTGTAGAGGAGAACCGCTTCTGAACAATCTAGTATGCGTCCTATCTTATACAAAACACATCACAAGTTGCTTCCATGAATTAAGGTAGTATATTAATCAATTTTGCAATAAACCAAAGATTAACGAACATTATTTTTTTCAGAGATAAGTTACCAGGTCCACCACAGAACATCAGAGTGGAATTCATTGATGCTCACTCTGTATACATCCTATGGGATCCTCCACTAAAGAACCCTCATACTGTCGAAATGTACAGAGTGTTCTGGAGACCGGTAGATTCAAAGAACAAATCTAGTCAAAAGGGAGATACCCCCGATACCAAATTAAGGATAAGTGAATTAAAAGGTAAAAAATTAAGTCTTGTACATAATTATTGTTTGGTTTCGTTTTTTGAAGTTGTACATTGAGTTGGTAACTTTTCCAAAAATGTCAATATTGCTTACTTATTAGGATACTGCAAAGGGCGACTAAACACTGCGACCTGTAGGGTTTATTGTGTGGTAAAAGTTACTATGAGTGCTACATATACTAATACTAAAAAAGTGGCGATAAATTTATCAGGGACGTACATATGGGTCATTACTGGAATATTTTTCAAAAAAAAAAAAACATTTGCGCTACTTTGTATAAAAAATAACTATTTTTATATAAGATGTTAAAATTGTATTTTATCGTCGACCGAGAAGATTAATTTTGGGGGTCGATAATGCAATTTTATCGTCGTGTATAAAACAAAATCTTTTTCCAAAGCGAGTTACGTTTTAAAAAATATTCAGAAATGATTATTTCAAGGAATTTATTACGAATAGAAAAAATATTGTGCTGGGTTGGCGTTGGTTTCTATGTAATTTGACAAATAAATAAAGCGGTCTCTTTAGTTGTCAGTTTTGAGCATAGGCAAACAAATAAAAAGAGACCGACAAATCTCATGGTAAAGAGTGGGACCGCGTTCCCATAGCGCAACTCAGAATAACAATTTTGAAACCAATTAGCAGGACCATGGCAGGACGTACGTCTTTATTGCTATCTTTCTTTATTATGTGTAAAACGTATCGTAAGACATTATCGCACATTCTGGCTGGCGGAAAATTTAAATTAGCCATTATTAGTAGTATTCTTTCATTCTGAAACTGAAAATTTTCACTTAAACTGATTTATTCCCTATACCACGTAAAGAGAACGTGGTGTAGGGAATAAATCAGTTCAAGTGAAAATTTGCAGTTTCTTTCAGAACGAAAGAATACTACTATTATAAGGGAAATTATAAAAAAAAGCAAAAATTGTACTGTTTTATAAATATATTTATTTATACATAAAAATAAATAAACTTTTTATAATATAATAACAAAAAATAGCAGTGTTTATTCCACCCACCTACCAATTTTAAATGCAGAAGAAAACTGTTGCAGGAAACGATCGGCCAATTTTTTTAAAGGGCATTAAAAATCTCATTTTCGAAAAAACTGCCCAATTGCAATAACAAAGTGAATATCCAAGCAAAGAAGACTTTACGAGAATCATGATCCTGAACCATTTTCAAGTCCAGTTTTAATCCTAAAACAAAAGTAAAATAGGTATATTAATAAAGTTTCTGGTTACTATAAACCAGCTATAAACTACCTACCCAAAAAATGAAAAAAATTAATTGTATTAATTTGTTATGTTAAGAGAGGTTCGAAATATTTTTTACACTACTACTTCTACTTTTTTCTTAATAAGATGATAAATATAACTATATACTTACTTTTATTTTACCGGGGGTCTTTAACATATCTATCAGAAAAAGGGGGCATCAATACATATAGAAAATAGATGATACTGGCTCCTGCAGCAAATAAAATAACAAATAGTATAACCTAAAATTATAAGTAACAAAATATAAATACCTATATGGAACAAAGGAATTTGTTCCCTATCCATATTCATAAGTCAATAAAATGGAGAGTTTAGAAAAGAAGTAAATCACCAAAAGAAAAATTAACAAACATGACGAATTGTCATGATGTTATCATCTTGGTTGTCATGATGACGAAAACGAAAGGCGATTGTTCTAATTTCTATTTAGAAATTACGTTTTATATGGCTGCTTCTTTCTCTCTTGTTATATTAGAATGAGATAGTGGGCCCAATAGACACAATGCGCAGATCAACGTAAATAGAACGAAATTTTGCGTTCTGAGTTGCGCTACGGGAACGTTGTCCCACTCTTTGCCATTTAATTTGCCAGTCTCTTTTTATTTGTTTGTCTATGGTTTTGAGTCAATATTTTTTAATTCTCTTTCATGTCGATTGCTGATTGAATTGGAGCTAGAAATGGCTCAAATCGAAATAAGTAAATTACCTACAGATATTCAGGCTGAGGCGACAAACGCCATATCCATACTACTTTCATTTAAATGCCGAATAACTTATGAAAAGGAATACAACAATTTTCAAAAATGGAAGCACTTAAAAAACGTGCGAGAAGAAATAAAGTTTTTAACCTATCCTCGCTGTTAAAAAGTATCATTTAATCTACGCTTGCGGTTAAAGTACTATTTTATCTACTATTTTTGATAGATATAAGGCAATTTTAACAGCTGCTTTGGAAAAAAATATCTAGCAGCATTGAATGCTTTTAAACGTTCTTTAATTACTAGATGGTACTACTTATGAAGCGGTGGTCAAAGCTGGCAACAGCAAGGGTACCTCAACTCTAGGAACCTCCATCAAATTCACCATGGGTGAGAAGTCGTTGTACATCACGCCCGCAGCAAGTCAAAGTGAAGAAAGCAGCAATGTGGGTGTTGCGGTAGCTGTGGTGCTTGCTCTGGTTGTTGTAGCTGCACTGGTAGCTGCAGCAGTCTGGTTTATAAGAACCAAGAAAATGTTGGGAGTTAAAGGTTCAGGGGGAATAGCCTTTGAGAATCCTAGTTATTTGAGGGAGGTCAACATGGACCATGTTCAGGTAAGAGTTTTACACCAATAATCTTCATTATCTTTCAAAAATGATTTGCTTTTCCTACTAGTATCATTTTTTTTAGATTTCTAATGGTCAGGAAAGTACTACTAGTTCATTAAACGGTTCAGCAAATGGTAGTATCTCAGTTTCCAGTACATCAGGAGGTCAAGGATGGAAAAATGAACAGCTGCATGTTCCAGCAACTCAGGAAGTAAACCCCACATTGTACGAAGAGCTAAAGTTAGGTTAGTTTATCCTTGATTGTATCGTAAGTAATTGTTATTTATGTAACAATGCAGGCGGAGGGCAAAGTTATGAAAAAAATGGCTATAATGTTTAAACCAAAAAAGATATAAAAATACCGTTTCTATAATATCGAGGGGGAATACATATGACGTATTTTTTGAACCACCCCGACCTACCCCTTAGGCGACAACCCTACTCACTTGAAAATCTTAAATGGCAACACCGTGGCGCCAACAATGGCGTCACTTGTGGCGCCTTTTTGGAAAGCCCATGAAAAATGCTAAACGATTATCATAAAGTTTTTAGGGTGAAATTGAAAAACTGCCCCTTACACGAAAAATTAGGTGGACATTAATGAAAAAAGTGATTTTTTCAGCAAAAGTTACAAATTGGTACCCAGCTAAATGAGGCCAATGAGGTATTTTTCAAACCACCCCGACCCACCCCTAGGTGCCACCCCCTCAATTCTAATCTCATCAATGACATTTTGAAACCATTGCCATTTTGAAGCTAAAAATAAAAAATGTAGGTAGATAATAAAAAAGGCGACACAAAGATGTTTTACTAATCGTTCAGCCTAATTTTGCAATATATCATCTATTTTTTTCTTCTTTCGATTTTCAATCGTTTGCAAATTTGGTGGTATTTTAAACCTTTATTTGATTCGCTTATTTGAAAGAAAAATGGTTTATACTGCGGAAGAAAGAATTCAAATAGTTTTTCTTTACGGTGTTGAAGGTATGTGCTATTTGAGAACGGCCCGTGCTTTCAATGAGAGAAATCCGGGCAAAAACGTAAGTCACGTTTATGTTAGAGATTTGATTCTAAAGTCAGCTCAAGTTGATTCAAGAAACTGGATCGGTCAAAAATAAAAAAAAAGGACGGGGCCCAGGGTACTGAATGAAGAAATGCAGATGGAAGTTATTGGTCAGGTATTGGTCAATCCAGAAGCATCAACACGCCAGTTGGCATTAATCACAGGTATACCTCGAACATCTGTCAGAAGAGTATTGAAAATGCACAAATTCCATCCCTACAAAATGAAGATTCTGTTAGAAACCGGTTAGAAACGGTTAACCAATCGAAGCCTTTAAATTCAACCAATAATATTAATATCGTATCATCGTATCGTCGGACAACGGATGCATGAAAATCAAGCTTATGTGGAAATGCTGAACAATTTGATAGAGCCAGCCATTAAATGAGGTTGAAAATCAAAGAGATTTGGAAGGAAATTTAACTCTTAATGAAGACCTCATACACTTTCAGCAAGATGGAGCCTCTCCACATTATATTCTATTGCTACAAGGCGGTGGTCGGATAGATATTATCCAAGGCAATGGATTGGCAGAAGGGGTCCAATTGAGTAGCCGCCAAGGTCACCTGATCTCACTCCTTTAGACTTTTTCTTGTTTTCTTGGGGTTACACTAAATCCATAGTCTACAAGACAAAACCAGGTTCGTTGCAAGAATTCCGGCACAGGAAAACGGAAGCACGTCAAAGAAGAATTTGAAAATCGTTTGTATTTTTGTATGGAACAAAACGGCTGTCATTTTGAGCAATTGTTAAAATAAATTATCATTTTAAATTTCTTTCTATCTATGTTTTATAGATTTAACAAAGGCCTTTGATAGAGTCCAACTAAAAGACATCATCACCATCTTGGAAAGCAGTAATGTCTCGAAAAAACTCACAGAACTTATCAAGGACTTAAACACAAACACAACAACCCAAATAAGAACAAACTTTACCTTAACGCAGCATCTTCGAACTACAACTGGTATTCGCCAAGGCGACAGTCTCAGCCCTCTGTTATTCAACACAATCATGGATCAAGTAATAAAAACCGTCAAGAATACTGGATTAGGATATCGAATGGGAATGCATATTATGCTATGCCGATGACGCAGTACTTATTGCAGAGTCAGAGGACGACCTCCAAAGAATGCTACAAGCTTTTAACAGACAGGCAGAAAAACTTAACATGCAAATTTCCACAAATAAGACCAAATGCATGACCATTACAAAGGAGCCTCTACGGTGCAAATTGGTAATAAAAAACAAAACTATTGATCAGATAATGTCATTCGAATACCTCGGATGCAAAATTACAAGCTCAGGATTCCTGGAAGAAGAAGTAAGGAAACAAGCCAATAAAGCTGCCGCAATATCAGGACATCTTAAATATCCCATATGGAAAAACAAACATTTGAGTACAGAATGTAAGTCAAGAATATACAAAACCTGCATACGACCAGTGATGACATATGGTGCGGAAACCAGAGCTGAAACATCAGTAACAAAGAGAATCCTACGAACTACTGAAATGAAGACCTTAAGAATGATAACTGGATACACATTGAGGGACAGACAGAGAAATGTAGACATAAGAGAAAAGTGCCAAACAAACGACGTTGTCAGATGGATAAGGCAGAGAAGAAGAGAATGGAACCAGCATGTCAATAGAATGGGCCCCGACAGAATGGCCATAATAATTCGCAACAACGTACCCCATGGCAGAAGACCTACTGGACGACCACCTAAACGTTGGCAAGACAGTTGGCAGTCAACCTCGCAAGAGTTGCTTAGACGAGGAGGAAACCGGAACTAAACAGGCGATACGCCTTCTAAAAGAAGAAGAAGAAGAAATTTCTTTCAAATTGTCACACCTACATTTCTTATCACTACTTACCAGTAATTAAGTTGAAGTCTGTATGACCATCGTTAAGCAATTTCAATTAGCTTTCCAAAGGAGTGTTACAAGTGGGGTATCGCTATCTTGAGATTAGAAGTGAGGGGGTGGTACCTAGGGGTGAGTCGGGGTGGTTTGAAAAATTCCTCATTTGCCTCATTTAGCTGGGTCCCAATTTGTAACTTATGCTGAAAAAATAACTTTTTTCATTAATGTCCACCTAATTTTTCGTGTAGAAACGGTATTTTTTATTTCTTTTGATATCTTTTTTGGTTTAAAATTTATAGCCATTGTAAGTTTTCAGTGGCCCACCCTGTATATTAAATCAGTAAGAAATATGGCTTTTTTAATTCCCTGACAAACTAGTAATTGTTTACCCATTGTTTACGGTCTTTGTTCTAGGTCAAGATGGAGCAGGTTTCAAACGACTAAAGCCCTAGTATGAGGGCGCCAAATCCAAGGCAGGTCAGGAATCAAAGTTTTGAAGCCCAGGCCTTTTTTTGTGATAGCCCTAGAATGGTTCTAGACCTAGAGTGTAGTGCCCCCTGTACACATCACTTTTTTTACACCCCTTATATAAACTTTAGTAAAAGATCTAAAGGACTACAAAAAAAACAAGAAAAAGGAACAAAGAATGAACAAAAAAAAAGGTGAAAAGATAAATATGTGAAAACAGAATGAAAAATGATATTTTTATTTCTGTATAAAAAAATATTAATAATGGTTAGTACCAGGGTATTGTACATATATTATGTTATGTTATTTTATTTGTTGGCAATACCTCAATTATTATTATATTTACCCGATAATAAGTCAACTTAGCTTAATTTAATACAGGGTGTTTAAGAAATTGGGACACATATGGGGGGAAAATATTATTTTTAAGTTTTTCAGAATTTTTAATTCTTGGGAAAAAAAGGGTCAAAATTTAAGTATGTCATATTTCATATACAGAAAAAAAATTAAAACAATGAAAATGAAACTATTTTTTATAAAAAAAAACTTTTTTTAACTATTTTCCCATAATTGTCCATATTTCTTGATCACCCTGTACATGGTGTTCTCGATGTTGGGACACCCTGTACAATTAGTTTTAATGGAATTGTTTTAATTTCTTAAATGTGATTTAATATAGAGAAAATATAACAGTATCAAATACATCATAGTGTGTAAGAAACAAGTTTCATGAATGTAAATCTAATACAAAAAAAAACGGCGTCGGAGTTGGCTTGGAAATGAAGATCGATGTCATTTTGTATGTAAAATTATATGGAATTTAATGTCGTCGGTCGTCATTTCCAAGCTAACTAGACACCGTTTTTTTTTCGATCGTACGTTTTTTTGTGATTTGTTTCTACATACAGTGATGACTTTTTTATTTGTTATAATTAAGTAAAAGGCATTAGAATTGAATTGAATTCAAGGCCTAGAATATGAACTAAAATAAAGGAAATTTTTGTATAAAGTACTCATAGAGCTATTTTTAAGTATTTGTAAAGGTAGTACTCAAATGTTAGACTATTAGAAAAAATCATTGACTGAGTGTTGAGGTAAAAGATTTAGCGAAATAAAAATAAAGAGCTATCATCAGTAAAATATCAACATTGGACTAATATTGAAATTAATAATAAAAAACTTGTATCGAACAAATAAAACAGAATTAAACATAGACATGCGTCGTATTGGTGTACAGTACGACATATTTAATGTGCCTTTATGTCAAATTTCGTTATTATTAAGGAACCTTCTTACTGTTAGACGTAACCTCTTTGTATATAACTTTTTAAACGAACAGAAGTTGTAAGATATATCGAGAAATAAATGGAGTAGAAAATATATAGAATTAAATAAATTATATTCGAGACAACAACACGTGTTTTATTTTTACCTTATTGATTTATCGATTTGTTCACTTATTCACTTACTTGTTCACTTATTCACTTATTTACTTTATTCTTTGGTTTATTGGTATATCGATTTATCGACTTATCGATTTATTGTTTTATCGATTATTGATTTATCGATTTATTGATTTATCGATTTATTGATTTATTGATTTATCGATTATTGATTTATCGATTTATCGATTTACTTATTCACTTGTTCACTTATTTACTTTATTCTTTGGTTTATTGGTATATTGATTTATCGATTTATTGTCTTATCGATTTATTGATTTATCGATTTATTGATTTATTGATTTATCGATTTATTGATTTATCGATTTATTTATTCACTTGTTCACTTATTTACTTTATTCTTTGGTTTATTGGTATATTGATTTAACGATTTACTTATTATTGTTCACTTGTTCACTTATTTACTATATTGTTTGGTTTAATGGTATATTGATTTATCGATTTACTTATTCACTTGTTCACTTATTAACTTTATTTTTGGTTTATTGGTATATCGATTTATCGATTTATTGTTTTATCGATTTATGGATTTATCGATTTATTGATTTATCGATTTACTTATTCACTTATTTACTTTATTCCTTGGTTTATTGGTATATTGATTTATCGATTTATTTTCTTATCGATTTATTGATTTATCGATTTATCGATTTACTTATTCACTTGTTCACTTATTTACTTTATTCTTTGGTTTATTGGTATATTGATTTATCGATTTATTGTCTTATTGATTTATCGATTTATTGATTTATTGATTTATCAATTTACTTATTCACTTGTTCACTTTATTCTTTGGTTTATTGGTATATCGACTTATCGACTTATTGACTTATTGTTTTATCGATTTATCCATTTATGGATTTATTGATTTATCGATTTATTTATTCACTTGTTCACTTATTTACATTATTCTTTGGTTTATTGGTATATTGATTTATCGATTTACTTATTATTGTTCACTTGTTCACTTATTTACTTTATTCTTTGGTTTAATGGTATATTGATTTATCGATTTACTTATTCACTTGTTCACTTATTAACTTTATTCTTTGGTTAAAGGTATATAGATTTATCGACTTATTGATTTATTGTTTTATCGATTTATGGATTTTTCGATCTATGGATTTATCGATTTACTTATTCACTTGTTCTCTTATTTACTTTATTCTTTTGTTTATTGGTATATTGATTTATCGATTTATTGTCTTATTGATTCATCGATTTATGGATTTATCGATTTATCGATCTACTTATTCACTTGTTCACTTGTTCACTTATTCATTTATTACTATTATTTTTATTTATTTATGATTTATTGATTTATCGATCTATCGATTTACTTATTCACTTGTTAACTTATTTACTTTATTCTTTGGTTTATTGGTATATTGATTTATCGATTTACTTATTATTGTTTACTTGTTCACTTATTTACTTTATTCTATGGTTTATTGGTATATTGATATATCGATTTACTTATTCACTTGTTCACTTATTTACTTTATTCTTTGGTTTATTGGTATATCGATTTATCGACTTATTGATTTGTTTTATCGATTTATCGATCTACTTATTCACTTGTTCACTTGTCCACTTATTCACTTATTACTTTACTTTATTCTTTGGTTTAGTGGTATATTGATTTATCGATTTATTGTCTTATCGACTTATCGATTTATGGATTTATCGATTTATTTATTCACTTATTTACTTTATTCTTTAGTTTATTGGTATATTGATTTATCGAATTATCGGATTTATTGATTTATCGATTTATGGACTTATCGATTTATCGATCGAATTAATATCTCTGAAAATATAAATTATAAAACCAAACTTAATAATATCTTAGGAGTATGTAAAGTAATAAAGAAGAATGCCAAAAATGCAATAATATACCAGGTATTCCGATTAAAGCATTCCCTTGTCTATTTTTTGAGCAACAAATAAACAATATAAGTAAATATAAAAAAAAATATAAGTGAGCAATCTTGTAGAAGTTAAAATATTTTCCTAAAATACTTTAGGTATAGGCCCTAGCACATACATATATGCACTTAAACGATATAATTAAGGTCATTTTCATAGAACCTAGAGATGCCCGACGCACTTTTGCAGGACCCTGTATATGAATATTATAAAATATTTTTATAAAATTTTTTTGCGATGTTCTTTATCTAATGGAGGTCAACGAACAACGTTAGCTGTCATCTATTACATTCTACGAGTACCTGCGACAATGCGACGTTGATTTTTTCCAGTGAAAACCGACATTCTTTGAGTCGTTACAGTCCATCCAGGTTGACGTTTAGCAGTAATATTAGGAATGGCAAAGCTATATCGATATCTAAAATATATCGACATTATTTATCAAATACATATTGATATGCCTCTTCTTCTTCAGATGCCTACAGATAATTCTTCATTCTTCGCAGACAAGTATTCATTCCTTGATGATGTCATCCTCTGTAGGTGTGATCTCAGCCGGCAGTGGCCCGTGTACACTGCAGTGAGCGTACGCGCTCCATTCCTACCGGCCTTTAGGAGTTCTCCTGTTCTATGTTTGGATGGCCCTGCTAGGATTTTCTTGGCATGTTCCATTCCGGGACTGTCATTCCAGTCCCGGAACGTCGCACTCCTAACCCATTCACAGAGCCTGTCTCTTGCGAGATTTTTTGGAACGCTAAGTGTCGGTTCTGGGCTCACGAATGGCGAGCCTGCACCAATTTTGGCGAGGGAATCAGCACGTTCATTTCCCTTTAGGCCGACATGTCCCGGTATCCATATTAGTGACACTTTGTTCCTATCTCCTAATACATTGAGTAGTTTCTTACAATGAAGAATTGTCATAGACGTGCTTTTCGTTGCGTCAAGTGCTTTCAACGCGGCTTGACTATCCGAAAATATGCATATTGTATTCCCAGTGTATTGCCGTTCTACCAGCAGTTGCCACAGGTTTCAATAGCATATAGGTCAGCTTGGAAAATTGTGGTGTGTTTTCCAAGACTGTGGTAGATCTCAGTCTTTGGACTGCTGCAGTAAATTCCTGCGCCAGATCCTTTTTCGTTTTTGGATCCGTCCGTGTACCAACACATTTCCGCATGTAATAAACCGTTTCTTGGCTTATCCCATTCGTCCCTGTTCGGAAACTGGACGTTGTAGGTGCGTGTTAAGAGTTGGACTGGTGGTGTGAGATCCGAAACCATTCCCAGAATCTCATCCGACTGTAGTTCGTCTACTAGTCGGTTTTGTGTGAACATGATTGTTCCTTGGCTTGCTCGTGCCATATTTAGAAACCTATATGTAGCCCATCTCGCCTCTCTTTCCAAAATAATTTGAAGAGGAGGTAAGTCGAGTAGGGTTTCCATAGCTTTTGACGGCGTGGAATGGAAGGCACCAGTCACTGCTAAGCATGCTTGTCGTTGTAGTTTCGACAATTTATTCTTTGCCGTTGTTTGTTGGCTTTCTGCCACCAGGCAACTGCACCATACGTGATAATAGATCTGATGGCTGTCACGTATAGCCAGTACATATTTTTGAGGTTTAATCCCCAGTTTCTACCACAAATTCGGCGGCATGCCCATAGAGCATAGCAAGCCTTTTTTATGTTTTTTCCAGACGAGAGGTCCAGCTAAGTTTTTTGTCCAGGTTTAATCCTAGATATAACCTCCTCCGGAAACGGAATTGTCTCACCAAGAAAAATGGGCGGTTTCAGTTTGTCTATTTTCCTTCTTCTGGTGAATGGTATGATCACGGTTTTCTGTGGGTTTACACTTAATTGTTCCAGTGTGCACCAGCCCTGAATTGCATCTAGGACTTCCTGTATTTTTAGGAGATGTCCTCTTCTTTGTGTCCTTTTACTAGGATTACCAGGTCGTCCGCATAAGCTTGTGCTTCAACCTCGTATGCATCGATGATTGTCATCAGGCCGACCATACAATTGATATAAAAAATAAAAAACATTAAATAGAAAAATAAATATCGATATATTTTATTTTTGACCGTCTCTAATCAAACGGGTCTAGATCGGGTGTATCATCTGGTTGATCGGTTTCCCACGTGCCGTCATTCGCCTTGACGGACGACGGCTGAATGATTTGCGTAAAAATTTATACGAAAACAAACGGTGAATGAATGAATAATTGTGTCAACTGTCAGACATACCATACCCGATAAAAATTATATAATATGGTCAACAAACGGTTTTTTTTACAAATATTAAAAACTAACATGGTTCAAGCTTCACTTAGATCCTCGAAATTAGTGGAATAAATTAGTGGTTTCAATTAGCGTAGAAGTTTAATTGTTCCTCTAATTTCGTTGTAAGCACTGAGAACGTCAAAATTAGTGGTAGTTAAGTATAATAAGTTAAAAGTTTGGTAACTTTTTCCACTAATTGTAAATTCCTACCACTAATTTTAACGTTCTGAATACTTACATTCAAATTAGAGGAACAAACTTCTACGCTAATTGAAACCACTAATTATACTTCATCATAGTAAATAATAGTAAAATTCATTGTTTTTTTTTCTTTTCAACTACACTAAACACAAAAAAAAAATCTAAAGAAGAGGTTAAAACTCAAAAAAAATCTTAGTTTTTCCTTGATCTAAGATGGATGTTCCCATCGTGGTGCAGAATTTTATTTGCTAAATAATGTGGATGCACCGGACCAAGAAATAATCTTGGAGTAGCATTTCTTTATGGGAGTCAGCGAACTATAAAGAAAAATAATTATGACACTCACGTATAAATATATCTACAATTTTCATACGAATGGTTAGGTTGGCAGCCGTGGCCGTGGATAACTGTTTTTTTCTTTTAATAAAGCAACGGGTAAAGATGGTATTAATCAAAAAGCTTTAAAAAACAGGGAAGTGCATTGTATTCTATGATTTTTATTATAGGAAATACGTCAATATAAAGCAATAATAAAAAGCCAACACTATGA